CTTTAGACATTTAGATAGAATAGAAAAATTCGAATTCCTCATGAAACTTGACAAACCATGTATCATTAGCTACAATATGTTCGTACATCTATAACTGCGTCAAGAAGCGAGAAGAAGCTGAACCTGTAAATAGTAGATCGCATTAGTTTATATAGTATGTAAGTGTCATTACTGTTTTCTTTTCCCTGTTTACCCATGACCTGTACTTAGCTCGTTAGAGCACAAGCGTACAATAAAGGTCTTTCATTCATTCATTATCCGTCGGATGGAACGACAGAAGAAGCATGTTGGTAATCATATTTTAGCAGCGTGGGGCTAGCTGTTCGTAAGCCTGACACAAACACAAGATATATATAGTTTGCTTAAGTTATGTTCTTGCGATCCCAGAGAAGTAGAGGTACTGTGTAAATGTTTATACCATGTTCAGAAAGTTGTTATTTAATTCAAACAAAACGACATTGAGTCTAAAAATTATATTTCTATATCCTCACGTCATACTTCACTAACACTGGTATCTGGGCATCTAGAGGAACATATTGACTACGGTCCCATTCCCTCTTGGATAAAATTGTCCGGATCAAGCCGAGTTGATTCGATCCGGCTCCAAGTCAGCTCGAAGCCGGATCAAAGCGAATCAATTCGGCTCGCGATCCGGACAATTTTGTCCTAGTGGGAATGGGGCCCAAATCTGCTTTAGGCATTAGACTACAGATGACTGCATGGGGCTCCGGGCGTCCATCATGTTAAAATCAATGAAGGATAGGTTAATTCTCTTTACAAGAGTAATGGCTAATCTAATATCATACACTCTAGCTCTATTGAAGCCAACTGCATGATTGCACTTCGCTAGAAATGAAGCTTAAGCTGATTAACTACAACATGACCTAATTAACGTACATGCAGGCACTAGCTACATATATATATATATTATTGTCTTGTCTTGCCTTTCCTTTAATGCCCACGATCATCATACTGATAATTCTGGCATGCCAATTCTTGGCAAGACTCCGGATTGTAGAATTTGTACCATCGCACACCGCATCCCTTTTCAATACTCCTTTGCAATACTAACGTTAGTATTACTAGTAGTGTAATGTATTGCGTTGTCCGTCCAAGTTGTATGAGTACTTTAAAGAACAGCTCAAAGTGTGCTAATTATTATTTGAAGATAGTCTGTTTAAGTCCACACTTTCTCCTGATTTAGCTTTTTATCAACATCAACATCAAAGTGGTTTTGGTGTCATACTACATGTACACTTTATACATACATGTAGGAACTGGAGATTGTGCACGGTGGCAAATTTTGTTGCAGAACTTTTATTAGTCGCAAGATGTCGCTCGTAAAAGGTGCGCTTTTTCGGTGGTGCTAACAAAGCATGCTGGGATCGCCTTCTGACCGGTGTCACTGCGGAAGAAGAGAAGATGGCGGCGCTAGCTCAGCGAATGGTGACCGCTGTTACCACCAAGGGACCCGTTTTAGCCAAAAGTAAGTCGTAGTGTAGAAGGTGACATGGTGAAGTACAAGGTTGTGGTGCGAGAGAGGGGGCCCAGGGCGTGACAGTTTACACTTTCGCGCAGTTCTGTGCATGACCTTACCCTAGCACAAAAAACAAGATGGCGGCATCCTACCTCCATGACCTTGTTTCGCTAGTACGAAACGGATTCACGCTTTGAGAAAATTAGAGAGCCTACATCTACGCCAGACCTGTAAAAGTATTGATAGAAGATAGTGAGAATCAAATTGATTGATCTGAGAGCAAAATCTAGAAACGACTGATGATGACCAGTGGATGTGCAACTGTCGGTTTAGATGAACCCCTTTGGCTTTAGTCCAAAGAGTTACTAGCAGCTTATCTAAGTACAGAATCTTCTTGTTTCAATACAGTATTAACATAGCCAGCTGCCACTGCACCGCATGCCTGCAAAGCTGGTGTGTTATGATGAAGGGCAGTTAAAGTGGTTATACATACATGTATACTGTAGAGTTTTCTTTTTTTTGTACATGTACATCTGGAACAACTGTCCATTATTACAAATTATTATTAGACATCTCTAGTTCTAACACACCAATTTTACCCCGACCCAGATGCTGTGGAGTTCTCCAAGCCTCGTCTGCAGACGTTCTGGTACTACGCCAAGGTGGAGCTGGTCCCACCCACTCCAGCCGAGATCCCCAAAATCACTGAGGGGTTCTCCAACCTGGTGAAGGCTGTACGCACTGGAGCCTGGGCACAGACTACTGTCAGGGTACGTACACTGAGATGGTAGAACTAGAGGGTGCAAACGTAGGTCATACTAGTGTCATAATCTGTCATATGCCACAAGGGAAGGTACTTGTGCTAACATTTTGTTATGTCAATGTACATTTACATGTAAAGTATGCTATTGGACATGTGAGGCCACAGACTGTTCTGAACTGTATTTAGCTGATAACAACCTTTGGGTAATGCCAAGTCTAGTGCACTAGTAGTACTAGTGGTAGGACATAAAAAATAAGCAACATTTGTTCATTTCTTGACTGTTTGATGACAACTGGTCCATGAAGTCTATTTTTATCTCTCGAGCTATGTCTCAAATGTTCCATGGTAAAAATGTCATAATTGCAAAAACATGTTTCTTATTCAGTACTAGACATGTATTTTTCTCTCCCTTCCCCATACAGGAGGGTGTAAGAAACACAGTGGTGGCAGCAGAGATCGGATTCTGGTTCTTCATCGGGGAAATCATCGGCAGACGCAGTCTCATCGGCTACAACGTCTAAACCTCGTCCAAGTTGTGAACATTTTACATGTAGAGAACATACCAGACCAGAGTAGTCCAGATAAACAACTCCAGATGTATTGAATATTGACAGTAAACATCAACACTGAAGAGCTGTACTTTCATGTTATGTTGATGGATTAAACTTGCTGTGTGAATGGAATTCTTGTGGTTTTTTATTCTTCAATTCTAATGTATGTCTATTTCTTTTTGATGGTGTGCATCTTATAGTGTTTAAGTACATGTACTGTGTTTTGGGGAGGACTAGGGAACAGTGCAAGCAAGGCAAACAGTTCAAAACATTGTAAGAAAATTGAACATTTAGTCACAATCAGTGCATGATTAATGAAAGTTTCTACTAAAAAAGTTTCTACTATAGGTTTACTTGGACATAGAAGCAACAATGTTACACGTTTTATTAGAAAAGTCAATCGTAACATGCAAATTTTTCTATTCATCAGTATATTATTCTATAAGAGCATACATGAAGTATCTAAATGCACATTTAGTAATGAACATCACAAGGCACTGCAATTTCCACATTCACTTCACTACATGATCGCTTCAGCTAAACCATTGAAATTAATTTGTGTCCATCAATGTTATGAATTGGGTATTTCCCCAGAAGTTGATTGTTCATCCATCAGTTAATAGCAATATGTATGCAATAGCATTAAGAAAATCAAAGTTAAAAAAAATTGAAATCTTGAGGTAAAACTAAGTTACAAGTAAGAATGGCTTTCAGGTTCAAGTTCACTACCCTGTTAAAGAACGAAACAAGTTACATCTACAAACTACACTCAGGTACATGTACATGACTTTTTTGTGTAGGTGTTTGAGCATTTAAAATGCTGAAAACCTCCATGGGTCTTTTTACCCTTATCCATGGTATAGCACTGTCACAGTATTGATAATTTAGTGCCTAGGTTAAACCCATAGTGGGACTGGATATTGAGGAAGAGTACTGTGGAGATATAAGCACTCATGCTGATTTTCTGTGGAATTCTCCATTAAATGCAGGGGTGCTTCATTTTAATTTCTACCAATACATGTGGAATAAGCAACATGTGCAACGACCCCACACTTACGCTATCATTTGTAAACATCTTTTCGTATGTACATGTCCATGTACTCATAAAGTACCTCTGAGACACTCCTGCTTTTGGGGTTGGAACAAAGCCTTAGCTCTGTAATCATGTCATGATTGTTCTTTAGATAAGTGTGTGCTTAATTATGATCATTCTTCTTGTGCACCATTCCCTGGTGTACCACAGCAAAGCATGCTGGTCCCCCTCCACACAACACACCCACTAATCTGCAAACAGACAGAAAACAACAAAAATCAGACAAAAGGATGTTAAAAAAGGAACTTCTTTATTTTCCTATTGCACTAATATCAAAACACTTGTTTTTTAATTCCAAGGATGTGATATGAACATAACTTTATACACAATACTTTTAGAAAAAAATTGTTAGCCATAGACAATATAAAGCCTGGTTTTGAGCACAAGGTTGGTTTGTCTGGTATCCAGCATATATTCTAGCTCAAGTTTGTTCCTCTGATTGCTTCCTTGTCAAATATTTGGCAAAGTCGAGGTAGAATACCAGGATACCAGGCTAAGGGTTAGTTTAATATAGCTCCTGTCATGTACATGTATATGTAGAAGTCGAAGCTTTTAATTTAGGTCATAACAAGCTTAAAATCTACATTGTATGTAGAAAACTGGGTGGCACACTGGACCACATTGCATATCTATACAACCATGGTAATGATTCTAAAAGCTATTGTCACAATGTCGAACTCCTAGATCTCTTCTCTTGTCTCAAAGCTAACATTTTAAAAAATCTTTTACAAATTCTGCCAGTGCTTTTTTTTAACTACACTTTTTTGAACTACATGTATGATCAGTGAAAAATGCTCCTTGAAAGACATGGTGATCATTCTGTTTTTGTCAAGAAATGATGCACCAGATGAAGAATGGAGAAGACAAAAACTGCAGCTGTAAGTACAACTTTTGCTTTTCTCTTTATCAAGTAATCCTCAAAACCTGGCTATGCGTCTACCATGTAGACCATGGCAGGGTTAATAAAAATGCTCAGTCCTACATGTATGTAACGCCTAAAACAGCAACATTGACATCAAATAACAGTAGAACTAAAGGCTAGAGCAGCTCCTGCATTTGCCTGATACAATACGAAGGACTTTTTGAAATACACAGCATTTCACAATGAAGCAACTCCTTAGAAAGATTTACATACAAAAATACACACTGAAAACAGTACGAAAACAGCACAGTGAAATGTCGAATTTACAATGAAATTAGCACCTGTAATAGTTAAGTGTCATGGCTTGGTGTGAGTAAATGTACAACACTTATACATTTATAAATGTATAAATATATACACACAGACATGATCTTAAAATTTCCACAATGGTGCTAGGCAAGTAAACCATATCACCTGCCCTGATTGTTGTTTCTGCATTGCATAGGGAAAATTCTTAGTATGAACATATCTACAAATACAACACACACACATTTGCAGTCAGTCATGTTTTACATAAATGTATACATGAAATGTGATGTAATTCTTAACATCAAAATTAATCTTTTCCTCAATTGTAGAGATGCAGATACTTATTTTCTATCAAGGAACAACTATACTAAAATGCAACACATATGGAATTTTCTTTGAATGTCTTTGCTATCTCTGACATAAGGTGGTGACCAGTAACAGAGCTGCTGTGCTGAATATGAAGATTCCTGCTGGAAGACTTTTGACTACTGTGTCTGTTGGTAGGAAGGGGAAAACGATCACCTGTTAGGTAGCATTTTACAATGTTTTCACCGGGAGAATGATCCACTATCATTTTTCAATGTTTTCAATCGAAAAAACAACAGCCATGAGAAGATATAACATACATGTAGACTGGGTATACAAAGGAAGGACTGACATGAAAGGCCTTGCTTGTGCCCAGCATCTAAGTCATATTTGTAGAAGGCACTGAACTTTTGAGCCAACACTGTATTAAGTGGCATTAAAATTGCTCAGAAGCTATGCAAGTGGACAC